CTTATATATCTTGAATGATTTATATGTGTATTGGACACGAAAATTCCTCATACAAATGAGATTTTTCAGTAGGGATCTAGCTCCCATCAAGACAAAACTACTCCCATAAAAAAAAAAAAAAAATTATCCTCCCAACATTAGAATATGCAAGCATAATTTGGAATCCACACCTAAGTTACCTGATCTCGAGGCTCGAATCTTCAGAATAAAGCAGCCAGATTTATATGTAGCGATCATTCATCCGAAACTAGTGTCTCCGCTTTAAAAGCTAGCATAAATCTTCCCAATCTTCAAAGAAGACAAAAAATAGCCCGATTCTGTTTTTTTTCAATATGTATATTACTCAGATTCCAATTTTCAATCTACTTAGTGTTGGGCTGCCTATTTCATATCATCCATATTAGATAAGTCCTGCAAGATTGAACCATTTCAGTGCCATATACTTACATTTTCCTCTTTTCTTCCTTAGTACTTTGCAACACTGACTGGAACAAACTATCTGACCATATTGTAACTGAGAGATATTATATTTCACTTAAAAAGAAGTGCATCAATTTGTGTGACTGAACCTTGATTTGTAAAACTGCATCATAACAATAACATCCTAATAAACGTGTTTTTTGTTTTGTGTGTGTGTGTGACATTTTTTGTTGGTGTCTATTTTTTATGTTTTGATTACGTTTTTGTCTTTCATTTTTGAATCCCCCTGATCTATACGTCTTTGGATGCCTTTGAGGTGAATAAAATTAAATGACATGAATGCCTCTGCATCATTTATTAAATTGTTACTTTAGTTCATTTTATCTGGTCCTACTACCTCGATTATTGCGATTTCATAGGGATTCCTTTTTTTTTTAACGCAACTCCCATGCCCTTAAGAAATAATTACACCACCCAGTTTATTGCTAAAAAAAACACAGCTATTTCAAGATATCACTTTTTTCTTGTATTTCACTACAATAATTGTAGGTTATAATAATTTTCCTGCGTTCTAAATTTGGTTCTTTTAATCACTCGGCGTTCACAGCTCTCATGTTAGCTCATAAAAAATAAATAGTGCGAAAACCCTTGTATGTACGACGTCACTGGAGGCGTGTGCTGGCCTTCTCCTCTAGGTGGTGTTGGGTCAGCCAACGCAGGAACCGGGGGGATTGCTGGGCGAGGATTCCGGCTCCGGACGACGGCGCGCCAGCTGCGGGACCTCCGTGAGGGCGTGTTCGGCTCGGATTAGCCTCCAACGCTACTGACGGATAAACCGGCCAACCCCTTTTTGTGCCACTAAGCCGCCTAATGGAGGGATCGTCACTGTCTCGGTCAACGTCGTCACCCGGGCGGACAATGGACCCTTTGCCGTGGCCTCCTCGGCGCGGCTCATCTAGGGAGAGAGGGTTACCTTGGTGCCGGAAGGCGAAGCCCGGCCGCCGCTGCAGGGTGTGCGTGTGTGTGTGCGCAAGCTCGGAGGATGATTGGGGGCGGGGCCTGAACCTGACGTTTCTTGGCAGCTCGGCCACCATTGGTTGCCAGCCGCGAGGGTACCGAACAGCGACCCGATAAAAGCAGCAAACAGGAGGTCGCAAGTGTGCTCTCGGACGATGTAGATACTTTGTGTGTCGCGAGAGACCCTCCCGTCTCGTGATGTTCTTGCCGGGAGTTGGCCTGCTGTTCCTTTCTTGGCCTGGCCCTGCTTGAGGCTGCCTGGAGAAACACCTCGGTCCCAACACCCCTGAGCAACGGGTCTATTAGGGCGAGATATTTTGGTGGCGCCCTCCTATGGTTCCCCCTTGTGACGTCATTACCTTGCAAACAACAAGTTCGATGGTGTTTGTAAATAGCATGGTGGAAGCTTGAAATCATTGCGCTCTCAAAGGAACACTGCCAACTCCGTCAAAATTAAAGTTCTTTCATTCCTCTTATTTCCGTCGATGATACATCCTTTTCTGACGTCATAGTCAGCGTTCGGCCAATCGTGTAAGGCCGACCAGACCGACGCTTTCGGTCGCGCACGTCGCCAATTGGCGGCGAGATGTTTTGGTGGCACCCTCCTATGGTTACCTTTCGTGACGTCATTACCTTGTGAACAACACGTTTGAAGATGTTTGTAACGGGCATGGTGGAAGCTTGAAATCATGGCACTCACAAACCCACACTGCCAACACCGTCGAAATTGAAGTTCTATTCCTCCTATTCCCGTCGGGGGGAAATCCTTTGCTGACGTCATAGTCAGTATTCGGCCTATCGTGGAAGACCGATCACAGCGACGTTTTCGATCGCTCACGTCGCCAATAGTCGGCGACAGGTTAAGGACCCGGTCGACTATCCGCCTCGAGTGCGAGCTCTCTGCCTTTGATAACACTTCGTCGCACGCGCAGTCAAAGCCCGGCGGAGAGCGACGAGCGCGTGGCGGAGCATCTGGGCAACAAGCCCGCGGAATAATGCAGCCTTTCGGGTGCCCGTGTCCGTCGAACGAACACTATCTGATTCCTCGCGCCTCACGTTCAGCCCCGCCGTGTCCTCACCTGAAGAGTATTATCTTACACCATGATCTAGGTCCAATCTATCGCCGGCGATGTCTTATAGGATTTATTCGACTAGTCATTTTTCATCGCTGCAACCTTCCGAATCGGAGCTGGAAGATACGGGAGCGCTTCCAAATCCGAGCTAGAGGGACTGCGCGCCAGCCGAAAGCTCGGCCACTTTTCCGAGCAGCTCGAGTGCTGACACGGAACCGGATAGCAAGGGCAACTTCCGTAACCGCTGCACTGCCATGGCGCAAGCCACCGCCCAATACGAAGGGTCTAGTCCATGACCGGTTTAGCCAATACTTTTCATCCATCCAGCGGGCCCGCCGCATAACCGCACGCCCGCACGAGAAATGACAGCATTCAATGCGGACGCCGGCTTCCGCTGCGGTCCCTGTCAAACGTCGAGTACCTTTTGCACTCAGTGCACACCAGAGCGGGATGTGTGCGTTATTCAATTGCAAGGTGGCGGCGTTTGACGCTAAGCTCTAAGCTTCTTGGCCGTATCGGCTTCTTTCTCGTTCAACTCAACAGCGGAAGGTTGCTGGAGTCACGTAACCGGTACTCTGGCACGCGCTTCCACCGCTCCGACTTCGAAGTCAGTGCGCTTCAGAGCGCTGCGAGTCAGAGGACGGCGCGACTAAAAAATATGAGAGCGCTCTGAGAGAACCAACCGAAAATATTTTAGAGCGCACGACTTGGACCCGTGAATGGGCATCGGATTTTCAGGGTGCTCCAAGAGGCTGGAAATTGACCAGCCAAATATACCATTAGTGTGATGTGTACATCGAGGGAGCTCGCATGCTCGGTAGTAGTTCGGTCACCCAAGGACAACGCGCTCATTCACAACCCGTAAACGACTCTCTCAGGTGAAACTTGGGATGGAGAAGCGGTCGGAGAGTTCGCACGTTCACTGTTGGCGGCAGGGCAAATGCTCTTGCGACCGTTCTCAGGTGTAGAGGAGTCTTGGCGTTGAAACGGAGAAACGCAGGCGAGGTTTCTTCGCTCGCTGCAGACGACTGCCAGCCACAGCACGCCCAGAAAGTAGAGCATTCCGGCAAGGAAACGAAACATGTCGTTGTACGATCCAGTCCTATCCCGGAAGAACCCTGAGAGAAAAAGACAATCGGGTGCGACGATTTGATCAATGTAAAACACGGTGGGAAAGTTCCCCTGATTCTTGCGCCCATACGTATAGACACAGAAAACTCCAGAAGTGCGGTGGGCCGCGAGTCCCGAGGAGCACTTCGTTATAGCTCCGCAGTTAATAGAGAGTTTTAGTAGATCGTTCCGATACCTCCGATAGCCCCGATAACGATACTATGCATGCACAAGGGAGGCGGTGGCGGAGTATCGGGTATCGTTATCGGAGTCATGGGAACGATCTACTAAAACTCTCTATTGATATTGCAGTATCAAGCCTGATTCACACGGTGCGATTTTACTCGTGATTTCGCAGTTGCGACGCCGCTCGTGCGTGAGAAAAAAAAAGTTGTGGCCCATGGAAACAGCGGTGCTCAACGTCGCAGTGCGAAATCGCAAGCGAAAAACGCACCGTTTGAATCGGGCTTTAGCTGATAAGAATATAACGAAAAAAGAATCACGATGGAAGAAGAGGGAATAATTTAAGACGCCCTGCATTTGTTAATAAGCTGTTAGTGCTTATAAAGCTTAGGTTTATGTAAATAAAAAAAAAGCACTCGCGCTTTTGTTCCCTTTAATCCTAGCCAGTCACGCTGCTTGCTTGGTCACACATATTGTCAACGGACGCACTTCGCGAGTTTTTGAAGTTGCCCGTTGGTCTGGAAAGCTCGTGCGCGCACTGGCGAGCGCAAAATATGACTAGCCCAGGGTACTTTAGTGGACGCGCGGCTTGCGCTGACGTCTCCTCAGCTACCGTTCTGGTAGTCTTGCTGCTGAGCGCCTACTTTCTGCAGCATATATTTCGCGCTACCGAATTTGTTCTTCTATGCAAGATGAAGTTGGAATAACCCAGAATGACCTTGGTGCGATGGCGTCACGTGCAAGTAGAGGCGTTGTAAGTTTTTGGGAGAAAGGGGGGTTGAGAGGGGGGGGGGGGGGTGCCTTCTTTACCCCTGTTTCGACGCCACTGCGTTCAGGCCATGTACATATTTTGTCAAATAGGCCGCAACGTCAAAATCAAGAAATATACATTATTTTTAAGGTGGAGACGTGCTTAAAATGATTGCGTCCCTTTTTGTGACTGTCGTCAGATCAATCACTCCAGGAACTCTAAAAATCAAAGCTAAACGATATAAATGTGAATTTTTTCCCAAGATAGTCGGTGTATACAACTGCTCTTGTAATCTTTTCGATGAAATTTTGTAACATTAAAAATCACTATACACAAAGAAAGGGTGCACATGTGCCAATGAAACATAGTAAAATCGCGTTCTCCTCAGTTACCCTGGTTTTACGAAAAAGGGGGGGGGGGGGGGGGAGGGGGAGCTTATACAATGGTCAAGCAAGGTAGGCTGGAAATAAATAGGAATAAAAATAAACTGCTGAGCTTTAATACCTTTAGCGACATTGTTTGCGTCGGTGCCCCTTTTGAATTAAGATCAACGGTGGCAACAAATTAAAAAGAAACCGGTCTTGTGGTTTGCGGGGTTGCCGGAAAATAGGGGTTCAATTTAAAGATTATCTTGGACACCTATTCATTTCATGGCAAAAAATAATACTGTCATTGCTATTTCCTTTACAAGTCTTCGCGAGGTATCTAACCAAACCGAGTTTATGCTTCGAAGGGGGATGGGGTTCAGGCCCCTCGGAGAAGCGAGGACCTCTTCCCTTGTTGTTAAACAATGTTTTTTATTTTTTTTTTATTTTCAGATCTTGCGCATTTTATGATGTACACAAAACTAGATAGTCATAAGCTCGATAAGTGATGGGAGAGTTTACTTGAGGGTTATTGAACTGTCAACAGGGCATCGACATTTCAAAGATGACAATCGTAGAAACTAAGTTATTCAGTCGCTTAAGGGTGGTGACAGTTCGCATTGCTATTACTAATTGTCCAAAATATTGCTTTCCCTCTTCATTATTGACGTCTTTTTTTATATGATAAGAAATACAATGTATATTGAGCTTTCGGGTTTCACTGAGCACATAGTGCAATACAACGCGATCATGAGAACTCCGGGTTTTCCTATCTTTTTTTTCTTTCAGTTAACAAGCTTGTTATTAAAACTAGTAGTGTGTTGGAAAGAGTTCATTCAGGGCTCACACCTAACAGGTAATATGTGGAGTCCGCTAATGCCTTGTTTGAGTAAGATGGCGAAAGTGTCAATATGTTAATGCCAACTCTGTCGCGCAGTGAGCGTGCATTTACTTTTGCTGACTTACCAAGTATGAGAGGATTGCAGAGATGCAGCGGGGTCCTCACCACTCCGATGACGCCATACACCATTGATAATTTCTCCAAGCCGAAGTAGTCGACTGCCAAAACGTCGTGCATAACAGTCCCAGAACTGACAAGGATCGCAGCAAAAGCTTCGATAGCTGCAAGTGACCAGTAGGTAGTTGCATAAGGCGCAGACACCATGACGGAGGCCATGAGGAGTTGAATAAGCATCAGTAAAGTGCTGCGGCGCAGAAATCTTCTGTCGGCAAGTAGGGGAATGCAGAGGCGCCCAAGAATGTCCGTTAGGTTGAAGTACGATGCTAGCCAGACAGCGTCGTCCTCGGTCAGTCCCTTGTCCTGACAGAAGTCTATCATTGAAGACATGAACAGGATTTCGAATGCACTGGTCACCGCCGATGACAGGACGATCACGTAGAAGATCGGAGTGCAGAGCATGGAAGACAACGTCCAAGAGTATTCTGGCAACCTCTGAACGGGAGTCTTTATACGCTGGTGTTCTTGCTGGTGTATGCTGAGTTCTGTGGTGCACCCGGAACTGGTCGTATGAATCGATGCCGTGGGTCCGCATTGCTTTTCTCGCTTGCACCACTGGGGTTCTTTGAGCAGGTACGTCAGAGGCGTGATATTAATCGAGATGGCGCCCAAGATGAAGAAGCTCCAATGGAAATTGTAGGTATCTTTTAAGTACAGCAGAAATTGCGGAAAGAGGAATCCTGCCAGCGTTCTGCCCAATGACGTGATCCCCATGGCGATACCCCTATGCTTGTCGAAGTACATCATTGCAAAGTACTTCGTCGCTACAGTTATGATGCCGGAGCCAATACCTGTAAAGAAATAAAGTTTACCATATAGTTAGTGTTGCGAATAAATGTTGACTCATCTGTATTTGCATTTAACTAAATTATTATTTTATTTTCTGTTTAGTTCACATATGTGGTGTGCAGCAGGGAGTTCTCATTGTATTCTGCGTTGATTTTCCCTTTGCAATCAACAGAAAGGACCTAGCGGATGTCTAGTCAGAAGTAACGTTTCCTAATTTAAACTGTATCTGCGCAGGGGAGTCTATAACAGGTCCTGAAGTCGAGCACTTAAGGGACAGACGCACGATAAACTTCTTCCGTATACATTGCGCGCACTGCGGGAAAGTAGGTGGGTTGTTTAGTGCATAAAGTATTCGAGTACATCAAGTAATAATTAAAAGTATCGCTTGAAAAGTAAGTTAGCAAAGTAAAAATCAACCATAAATACCAAACTTTAAGACACTGGAGGTATGCTCGAGTAAGTTCGTTTCTGGTCACATTGTTCTTCAGCTATCTCAAGGCATGTCTCGGAAGAAAAATAAAGAGCTTAAGCATCATATTTTCATTGGATGCTCCTTTGGGACTCCCGCACGTCTTGTGGCACATTGTAAACCACAAAAATAAGGGTTGCCACGATTAAAAATTACGACTAGGCGTTATTGCTTCTGCAAAATTTAATTTGAGAAGATAATTTTCTGTAAGGTATCGGGCGTGATAAAGCCGCAGCCCCGCTGATAACACATCTTACAAAAGGGTCCGCAAACACTGTCAGAGGCGTCCTTCTCCCTTCCTTGTTTCTTCCTGTCGCCTTTTCTTGTACAAAATTTGTGTTTAGACATGTTCAAAGTCTACACACGAGGCAAACATTCTTCTAAGGTGCTCGAGGGTGCTTCCGCAGATAATTTTGTTATCATATCTGCAGCGAACACCGCGTAGGCAACACGATTTCGGCGTACGTCTTTGAAAGCTAGTGGAGCAATGAAGTATATAACGATGCATCATCGATGATTGTGCATCGTTATCTACTTCATTGCTCCACTTATCTACTTCATTGCTCATTGCTCAGTGATATTGTGGTGCACATACTCTTATGAATAGTAACAGAAAAAAAATGTATATTTTTAACTTTAGGTGCGTCTGCTAGCTCTGCGGACATATATCTCTCTGGCACCGAAGGTGGTGCGAATTTTGAAATATACCCGTCGTGTTCAGAGATAGGGTAAATATGATTCACAATATCCGTAAATGTCAATCGTACGTTTGTATTCTGAGCCTGATCGCTGCATTTTTCGTCATAAAGGGCCCACTCTGGCAACGACCGGAAAGCAGTCATTGGAGGGCACTTCACATTCGGCGCCATCATGACGTAGTTTGTCTCGGGATGAGCAAAGCTGCGGCGAAGCTGAAGTCGTCAGGATGCCCTAGCCGTTCCAGCCACCAAAGCGGTCGAAGCACGCCAGCGATCGGGCCACCGCAACTAAACGCAAAGCTGCTTTTGTGTGAATTTTGAGTAACGGGTTAATCTTCTATAATCTTGTAGAGGGACAATAGCGACGTCTGGGACACACAAAGAGAGTCCCGTTAAGTGGGGACTTCCTCCTTCTCCTCTTCTCTTGTGCTGGCTGTAGATCTGTCGGGACGACGTCATGTTCAAAGCATGTGTACTTCTAGGCGAGACAGTTATCGTCACTACACTACCTATTAAGGTTTCTAGACAAGCATTACAAACGATTCGTTAGCGATATCTACCAGGTGCTCTTTGGTAATCGTTTAATTTGTTTTAAAATATATTTCCGTGGCTTTTTTTTAAAAGGTATAGGTGTTTCCGATGTGATACTGCCCCTTTAAACACGTATAGAGCAAAAAGAAAGGGCCGAAATTTTGTTGTAGTATCCCTCTAAAACGACATGTTTATCAATGATACTCCTAATAAAGCTTTATTTGTTTCAGACAAGATTATTCCTTACCTATGTGTTCTTACTACGAAAGCCGTAATACAAAAAACAACCTCTTCAACCACCGCTGCTTGAAGTCGCGCCTTCTGACGTAGAAAAAAGAGAGGACGTTTCGAGGGCGGTGGCCTCTTATTGAATTCGCCATAAGAGTAGTGTTTCGATCAAAGATTGCGCGCACTTCAAAATGTATAAAAAAACAAAAAAAAAAAACGATTAGTCGGGAAAATGGCTGAGATTTCACCACTCAAGCAAAAGCGCGCGTGTGTATGAAGGCACTCTACCGAGATCGATCACGTGCGAAGCAAACAATCCAGGGCCGTGCAGGAAAGCCACCGATACGGTCGCTTCGCCGACGTTGCATGTGCCCCGGCTAAGTTCCCCTGTTTTTGCTTCCTTCTCCTCCTTTCCTGTTTTCCGTGCGCGGTAGCGCGAGCTGCGCCGCTATTCGCGGAGATCGATCATGGGAGGAGCAAAGAACATGTCGCTACGGCTACCCACAGAGGATGAACGCGCAACTCTGGCTCCCGTAGAGATGTATATGCGGAAGTGAGCGCGTTGGAGATGAAATACAGAATATACAAAAGAGGATACACTTGCAGGGGCAGAGGACAACACAGAGTGTGTGTTGTCCTCTGTCCCTGTAAGTGTATTCTCTTTCGTGCCTTCTGTATTCCCTAGGGAGCATATGCAGGAAGTCTATGCACATCGTCTATTGGATTGTAATGGCTACATGGCAAAGCAAAAATACTTTCTGTCAGATCTTGAATTTATTTTTAAATAAATATTTTAACTTACTTTAGTTACAATTTTGAAACTGCATAAGATCTCATATAGAATTTTATAACTGATATCACCAAATTCTGTGATGCGCAGGCGCCATTCCATCATGATTAGAGAGTCGTCTGCTTTTGAATGTTTTTTCGCGGTTTTTCAAGAATAAACCTTCAGTGGTTAGTCAACGCTTGTACCGTTCACTCTTTTCCCCATCCGTGTAACATTCACGCTGTTTCAAGATGAACCCATACCAACTCCCAGTTTTCCTGCCTCTTAAGTATTTCAAAGAAGTTGACATGTCAACAATTACCGCGTCCCTTCAAGGCTTAGGAATGGCAAGACTCGAAACACGATCTAAAAAATGGGGCGAGATCATTGCTTATACTTTGCGACTTAAGTGAGCTAAGGGAAAGCGAAAGCCTCCTGCACAACTCACTACTGCCAAACGTTCCCGATAGTGCAGCGAATGTATACGACATAATAGTTCAAAAGCGAGCGACGCTCGCTGTGAGGGGCAGTATTATGCTTCCCCACCGTCTCCACTCTGTTGGTCACGTGACCTAAATTTTCCCCTTGCAGGGAAATGCGGTTAGCTTTCTGCACGGGGTAAAGTTAGCCAGCTTCGAGCGAACGGGCCCTGGTGCGAAGTATACGTACCATGAATGACGCCCATGGTGAGTATCAACCATTGGGTACTCGTAGCAAAACCCGATGTGAGTACGCCAACCCACGTCAGTATGCTTCCCACCAGTGTGATGTGCGTGATCGGATACCTTTTCTGAAGCAGTCCCACGAAGATGCCTGCATATGCAAAGGCCCGCGGTGAACATTAATTTGTAACAAACGACAGTAATAGAAGCGATTATATATATATATATATATATATATATATATATATATATATATATAGACAGATAGACAGACAGAGAGGCAGACACAGACAGACACAGACAGACACAGACAGACACAGACAGACAGACAGACATACAGACGGACGGATGGACGGACGGACGGACGGGTGGATGGGTGGATGGGTGGATGGGTGGGTGGGTGGGTGGATGGATGAATGGATGGACGGACGGACGGACGCACGGATGATCGGGCGGACGGACGGACGGACGGACGGGCGGAAATGTACATTTCGCCTGGCACCAATGCCAGTCAAGTTAACAGACAGACTCCGGGATGGTTTTTAATGCCTCTTGAAATTTTGTAATCATAACTGAGCTTTTATCATTTCACGTTCAGTTTCGGTGGTTCAGATATTTCTATTTCCACCATATCCTTCTCATTAAAATCTGCAGTTTCGGCTACAAGTTTGAGAACTTTTTTTCCAGTAATGCGAAAGACACGGAAGAGAGCGAGGGGAAACGCAGGGCGTGTCTTTCCGTACGCCCGACCTCCAGCACGCTCTCCATGTCTTTTGCCGTGCTTTGGCCGCGTGCGCGCGCTCGAGTGTAGGAGTTACCGAAGTGTTATCGAAGGCATATAGAAGCTCTGGCTAAAGGAGAGACAACTGAAGCTGCTCCCTGCCGTTCTTACCTTGTCAGTGACGGTGGTGCCAGTATGGACACTAATTTTCCTCCTCTTGATTGATTGTCTTGATGGCGCTTGCAATCGATGGCGAACGGTGAACTCACCTTACTATTAAAAGGAGAGCGAGTTTGGTCCGCTCGATGGAGACCGGTCGTAACGCTCATCTTTTGGTCTGGGTGACTCCGAGAGGAACAAAGAAAGCCTACTAAATCCTTGCTACGTTCATAAGTTGGGGTTCGGAGAGTCTGTACAGCTTGTATTAAAAAAAAAAAAAGAAGAAAAAAAACTGAAACCAAGGTATGAATCTATCTATATCCCCTCTAACTACGAATGTGTGTATAAATATTCTACTCAAGTAGCGCAAGGCTTTGGCTTTTACCTGGATCACGACCAAAACATTCCAACTGATGGGCAGCAAGGAAATAATTTTTTCCCGGATTATCACGCCTAAATGCTATGTGGACGAACTATACGTGGCTTGCATTGACGTCAGATACCTTTAGCCATTGCTCAGTACCATGCTCCTATGCCCATACCTTCTGAAGGATACATAGGGTACAACCGAATTTGTTGTCCTCAGCAACGAAATGTGTGCTGCAGAAGGTACGGGCGCAAGAGCATGGTACGAAGCAATGGCGGACGGCACGGTGCCATATGACGTCACGTGTAATGTATGCTACATAACACATCTTCACACACTCTAACAGGAAACCTAATTGAAAAAAAAAACCACCCTATTGAAAAAACCAGCAAGAAAATCGAATTGGTCAAGCTGGTAATTAAGCTGGTCAAAGTGGTCAATGTTGTAATTAAACTGGTTTAACTGGCAATCAAGCTGGTTTAAGCTGGGCAAGCTAGAATTTGAGCTCGTCAGTCTGGTTTTAGTAAAAACCAGCAGGGTCTAAAAACACCCTGTATATATATATATGTATGTATATATATATATATATATATATATACACCAACTCAACTCTCCTACGTCACGCCGCGGTGGTGGCGCGCCGGACGCACTTCCGGTCTGGGGTGGTGGGCAGAAGTCGCCGTGCCAGACATGCATTCCTGTGTTCCTTTGGAAGAAACGAGGCAAAAAACCTGCCTTCTCGTCAAAATGCTGCGATGGGGGCTTTACCAAGAGAGTCTGGGAAGGTTTGAAGATCAGTTTTCATGTGTTTTTGCATCCTCCGTTCGTCCGAGAACGTGGATAGCAGCCGTGAAAAGGACAAACCAGACGCTGTCGAACTACGATTGCGTGCGCGGGCCACAATTTGAGGTCGCCAGATGTATTTGCTTTGTTCCAACATGACCGAGAGAAAACCCCCAAGTTGTCCGGACCACCCACGGATTAAGTGCGTCTTCAAATTCACATGGCCGCCTGATCGTTCGAACTTTCGTCTGCTCTTTCAAAGTTGTCTGCTTTTTGTCGTCTGCTCGTTCAAACAAAAGCGGCTCGTAGACCAAACTTTGACCCGGTGATTGCAATAAGAAGTAATTGCAGGCCTCAAAAGACTTAAGTAGGCTCGGTGTAAACAGTAGATACAAGATGTTAATTATTGGTACCGGTGTCCATCACCTACTTGTTACGCTTGGTCTGTTCCCGCTTCCGATTTTCAGTATCGACGTCGATCATCGCCGCTACCTTTTACACTTTTGCAGCACGAGCGACGTCGCGACCGAAAATAGCTACAAGAATCTCATCATGGTTTTGGCGTCCATTCTGCTGCGTTCATGGGAATGAATCGCCGCAAGTCAAATTATTTACGGAAAGTTTAGCGGCGTAACGAGCCTTGATAATTTCGCTCAGGCGATTGAAGTGGTAAGACATTGCGATGAGGACGTAGAATCGACAACTCCAACACGAAAAAGAGTATGCAGACTCACACAGATGCCGACAACGTAACATTCGAATGGTTTGTTCACGCGGGACGCGGTGCTTCTTGCCGGTACTCCATTGCGCGTGCGTTCGAACTGTCGTCTGCTCTTTCAAACTTGGCTGCTTTTTGTCGACAGTTCGTTCAAACGACAGCGGCCCGTAAACCAAACGTTGACCCGGTAATTGCGATAAGAGCTAAGTGCAGGCCTCAAAACACTTTCGAAGGTTGGTTGGGGTAAGTCGGCTAAGTGTAAACAGATACAAGAAGTTGTTGATCATTGTTACCAGTGGCCATCACCGACTTGTAATGCCCGATTCTACTTGCGGTTTTCAGTATCGACGTCCACCATCTCAGCTACGGTCCACGCTTTTGCAGCCCGAGCGACGTCGCGACTGAAAATAGCGAGCAGAATCTCATCGTGGGAGTCAGGCTTTAGCGCCCATTCTGCGGCGTCCAGGTGAAATGAATCGCCGCACGTCACATTATTCACGCAAAGTTTTGCCTCGATAGTTTTGCTGAAGCCGCTCAAGTAGTCAGACATTGTTAGGAGGACGTAGAATCAACAATTCCAACGCGAAAAAGAGCACGGGGACTCCCACCGACGCCGACAACAACGCGATTCAATGGTTTGTTTCTGGGCGACGGCGGGCTTCTTGCCCACCATCCACCGCGCATGCGCGGCGCCGGTGGCGTCCGCTAGGGGCGCTCCGGTTTGTTTGTAAACATGAGTTGGTGTATATATATATATATATATATATATATATATATATATATATATATATATATATATATATATACAGGGTGTTTTTCTTTTAAGCTTAACAGATTTGCTTAAAAAAAGCCGTGAAAGTTACACTTATGCCGGTTGTGGAGGTGAGCTATACGGCCAGGGGGACATATTATAAGGGACTAATTGTAACGATCACTGGTTTAATTAAGTCAAATTCGTTAATTAACTTTTTAATTAATGAAAATAGACATATCGTTCCAATTAGAAACTCAGCGTCATCAATAACCACTAAATCAGTCATTTTCAGAAAGGCTTTCCGCGCGTGAGAAGCGTAGTATTCTACTAAAGTTACCACTCGTGGAGCAGGTACAAGGCTGGGGCTAGATAAGAGGCGGAAAAATCGCGCGGGCGCCTTATCGCAACCGCTAGCTTCGTACCTGCTCCACGAGTGGTAACTTTAGTGCACTACTACGCTTCTCACGTGCTAAAAGTCTTTCTAAAAATTACAGATTTAGTGGTTTTCGATGACGCTGAGCAAGTTTCTAATTGGAACTATATGTCTATTTTAATTAATTAAAACGTTAATTAACGAATTTAAATAATTAGTCGACTGATCGTTACGATTAGCCCCCTATAATATGTCCCCCTGGCCGTATAACTCACCTCCACAAGCGGGATAAGTGTAACTTTCACGGCTTTTATTAAACAAATCTGTTAAGCTTAAAAAAACACCCGGTATATATATATATAGTACGAAGTCCGGGGCTTGGCTGCCGAGAGTTTGTATAGAATAAAGAGCCACTTCAAAAACTTAACTCCTTTACTTAGACGTTTCGACCCGAGACGTCTAAGTAAAGGAGTTAAGTTTTTGAAGTAGCTCTTTATTCTATATATATATACGTGTGTATATATAGATATAGATATAAATAACCTGTGTAGAGCACAACTGACCAATCACGCCTCCGAGGCTTGTCATGACGCTCATGGGCCAGGAGGCTGTTTCCCTGTCCACCCCGAATTCCTCCATGATGGCGACGTAGAGGTAGTTCATCGCTCGCTCAAGGGATACGCCGATGAAAGTTACGACTGCCGTGATGACGACCACGTGCCAGCAGGCGTCAACCGCTGGGTCATTCATTTTGGAGGTTTTTTGCTGACTCATGTTTGAAAGTGGCATGTTTGGAGCCTATAAGAGAGCGTCAGTTTGTCAGCTGTCAGTGTATTTTTGAACTTAGTGGAGCGAGGCTTTATCCGTCGTTTGGAAGGTACATAAAGTCACGACGCGGAGACATGGCTCAACATGTTCACGCTCCTTGCTCCGTGATTTGTTCTTCGGCGTTTTTATTGGCTGGTGTCGCAAGCTTATTGGCTGCGGACTGATAACAGCATGCTCGGGACTCGGTGCACGGCCTACGTTCTTAAAGCTGACAGTGACCCTTTGGATACACTTTTGGAAGCGCCTTATTATTCACTGCACGGTAATGTTCTCGAAATACCAATAATTGGTCACGCTGACGACACTAGCATATGTTACCCTCATGAATATTCGGATGATATTATAGATGGTGCAAACAATACTTTATCAAAACCGCATGATTGGGCTTCCAGCAAGTTGTCGAAAATAAATGCTACAAATTCCAAGGTAGTTATTTTTCGACTGAAAATTAAAATATTACGTATCTCGAGGCAGCTTCTAAACAATTAATGGGCTATTGAAATTACCAACTCTTTGGAACAATTGACGTAATATTTTCGGAGCACATGACTTGAAACCACTAAACCGATATGTTGCATCAAAGTTAGGCGAGACTGATGAGCTGGTACGACGTCACAGCTTTATACGTAAAAATTATATTATTACTTTATAACTTCTTTAAAGGCGAAACCGCTCCGGGCATGCAATTATGGTTTTTGTTGACGGTTTTTTTATCTTTCTTTCTATATATTCTACAGTCATAAGGATAATGTCAAATTAAAAAAAAAGAATGTTTTTCAAATATGCTTTAATGTCTCAATACTATGATTATTCTTAATTGTTGGCTTGTTATTCAGTTTATAGACCAGCCTCTAATATTGAGCAATTGTTGTTTTGAGATATAACGTCCCATTGTCCGCGATAATTTACGCGAACAGTCAGTTGCATATAATGAATTAAAAAAGCAAGTAACATCTGCACATGTTACGTAAACTAAAAAAATAGTTTAAAATAGTATTGTTTTCTCGTGCTATGAAAACAAAATAACGTTAACCAATCAAAATTATGAGATGAAATTACAAAGCATCCTTCGCTATTTCATTTTCCTCAACTTCCATATCGATATATTACACGTGAAGTTTAGTATTAAACATCACACCTTCCCCACTCAGTTACGTCAGGCTGCAGTTTCTTAATCTAATATACAGATGGCGCCACGTTTTCTAGAATAGCTTGACGTACATTTGCCGTCGTGTGCCGCATGGAACACCTGAAAGAGAGAAAAAGCGCCACATGTTTGGGTGTACTCTGTCGCCTGGATGCCCGCAGTGAGCGAGTGCCAGAGATGTCAAAGCTAGAGCCGCAAAATAAGGGACGCTTCAGAGTAATGACACTTCAGTCATCTTGTTGCTTAAAATCACGGGGGCAAGTCTTCTGAAGCCTATCTGAAATCGCAGGAAACGAATTTCCGTCCCCCAGAAATGTTAAGACAGCTCGCGTCAGAGCAAAGCGATATCACCTGGGCTTCCGAACACCGCATCTAAAGGCGAAGAAGACGAATTTTTAATTGTGGCAATACAGATTTCTGTCTGCTCTGCGTTAAGCACCAAGATGGCGCATTAGCAGATTGGGGAACGGAGTGCCGATATTCTAAGCGCGTTGTTCATTTAGTGGCTCTGGCCAGATCAACAAGCGCAACGCTGCGGATGCACCACAGAGGCCTTTGCACGCGTTCCACTGTGCGTCAGTAAACATGCCTGGCGCGGTCCACAAAAGATTACAGGAGGGCGCTTAGGCTTCGCCTTTAATGCCCCATTCACACGGCCAGCATATAGGTACTTCCAACATGGGTCCCTCTGCAATCGGTGAATCGGCCAGCGCTCTTGGGTCCGATTGACAGCCGACATTAAAGGTCCCTTACCTAAAGGTACCTTTATGATCGAGTCAATGAGGTGTAAGAGTGGAACGCAATAGCTAAACATAAATCCTGCTCTGTCCCAAACTGTGCAAGCGTGTCTGCTTTGCCTAGGATTCGGCTTCCGGGAGCAGCGATAGCGAGCGGACGCACGATGGATCGCTCCTCTGCGATAACAATAACGGCTGAGGTCAGCCGTGGTGACGCCGTACACGGCAGTGTGCCCAAAGATTATGCTGTGTTATGCCGGTACTTCCAACAGGCGACGAAGCGAAGCCCGGTCTCGTGCTGCACGCGGACAGCCGTGGTCGACCATACCGAGTCGAGGACTTCGTCGGACCCCTCAACCAGGTGGGAGTCAGGGAGGACATAACAGGACCTGGAGCCTACCAGATGGGCCACGTATTGTTAGTGAAGTTGCGTACCGGTGAAGCCAAGGAAAAACTGCTATCCGCAGGAAACTTGAAGGTAAGAAATCGCCTTTGCCTGGTCGTCGGCCCTGACAGGCGGGATGTGAGGGTAAAGGTTCACTGGGCGACTTTTGGAGTGTCCGTCGATGCCACCCGGAGGGCCTTTCAGCCATATGGCGAGGTCAAGGGTGTCGCTCGAGAAAAATGGAATACAGAAGGCCTCGTGCACGTCGACTCAACGACCGTAACCGTGAGGATTGTGCGTCGCGATTCTAACCCCCAAATCCCTCCCACACCAGTTTCGCATCAATGGAGGAATGGTGCTAATAGTAGTGCCCGGGCGAGCGCCGGTCTGTCTACGTTGCCGTTGCACAGGGAACATTCGGCGTGATTGTAAGATACTTAGGTGTGGAAAGGGCCGAGCCTTCGGGCATGAGGCCAGAGACTGTGTGGGGACCTACGCGCGTGCTGTTGCCGGCCAGAACTTTGACGACCTGGGTACAACATACTTGATGAATCAGGTCAAAGCAGCGGCGGCGGCGACTCTGTCAGTTCGGCACGTAGCACCCCGCCTTCCTCTAAGATCACCACGGCGCAGCAGGGTGCCCCCCCCCCCGCCCCCCCCCCCCCCCCCCCAGGACCGAAAATGCGAACCCTCCTTTTAGTCGGCGTGGAAAGCGGCCAACACAATGCTTACTGTGAAGAAACCGTCTTCGGCGTCACAAGCTATTGGGGACGTGGCCGGTGCTTCGGATGGCGAGGACGCTGTGGCCATGGATTCAGAAGGCGCGTCGGTCTAGCGTAGGCGCTGCGAAGTGGTTCCGGAAAGCGTCGAGATGCATCAGCAATCTCAGGGAGGGGGGTGTTGGGGACAAAGCAAGAAAGGTCGAAGCGCCGACCGCGGAAGCTCGTCCCTACCCTGGGAAGACGCACGGTCGCATCGATAACCTGGTCGTGGCCCCACAGACGGTGTTGAAAGGGGTGAGTGTCATGTGCTGTTATGAGACTTTCCTTCCACGATAGTCACTCTAGGACCTTCCCTGCGTATCGCCGCGCTCAACCTTTATGGGATCGGCGGCTAAACGTTGGCAACGACAGCTTTACCGGCTGATGACTGAACAAGAATTGGACATCGTCGCCATCCAAGGGACTAAAGAAGAAAGTGAGGAGTACTAACTACAGAGTGCAGCCCTTTTTGGCAAGGTACTACGTCTGTGTAAGTCACGCGGTAGGCTTTTCTGCAGTGTGCTGCCTCTTTCTGAAGAAGTCTTTAGGCGTAGTTGTGCAAAAGTTATTACATGGCCTTCTGGACGTTTTGTTTTGTGTGATTTTACTATCCTGGGCCACGAGTGGCGAGTTGTTATCTCTATGCGCCGAACAAGTCAGACGAATGCCGCAATTTTTTTTGAGAACGCTTTTCAGCATTTACAATGCGATCGTCTCATTAGCTTTCTGGGTGACTTCTTCAACTACGTGTGCCGAGCAGTGGATCGGTCTAACAGAGCGCGGTATAACTACGCCAGTATCCTCGCGTTATATGACATTACTGAACATTCCATGCTCGAGAATATAGCTCTCTGTGCACCAAGTGCCGAAGCCTATGTCGTGTACTCACTTTCAGGGTGACAGTCACGCTAGATTAGACCGTGTCTACATTTCGTCTGACCTGGTTTTTTGTGTTGTAATTACTCCGTTGATTATATCTCTTTTAGTGATCACTGCCTTGTCAGCTTTCGGTTAGAAGAATCAAAAGGGGCGTCACCTTTTACGTGGGACCTGTAGAAACTCAACGCTAAGCGGCTAAGCTTTTGCGCGATGAATCTTTCGTTAGCACACTCAAGGCAACATGGCAGGCAGTAGAACTGGCGGGGCAAGGTACAGGCGAAAAGTGGGAAATGTTTAAACAGGAAGATAAAATGTGCGCGATCGACATAGCGTGTACACTGAAGCACAAGGAAAAGAAGTGTGGAAAGGCCTTGTGGACTACTGAGACAGCCAAGCTGCGTTTAAAAGTGATACGATGCGGTGGTCGCCATTTGCCTATTTTTGCACGCGCAATGTGTAATTCTTTTTTTTTTTTTTAGCAAAACTCTGGTACATGTTTCAGGTACTGTACTGCAGCAGTATTCACGTACAAAAGATACACCGGGCATTTTCTGTATTCATTTGGGTTTCCACTTGGGAGCGCACCAGCTAAATAAACCTGTTTCGGCGCGTTCGGAATGGTGGATTTTCATTGACGCACCTTTTTCTACGATAAGTTGTCCATTGCTTTCTTTTTCTGAGGAACCAAAGTAGCCCCTTTTTGTGCACTGTCCTTCAGGTACTGCTTTGTCACACTTTGCCCGCATTTATTGTTTCGTCCGGCGATGGTGCGATTGGACCGGTGAGCCTCTTCTAAAAGATGTAGTCGCTGCTTACAAATTCCTAGCCGCGAAGTTTTCCCTGAAATATCTGGGTAATGTTTCGCGGAAAATATTCATGAAACCTTTGATCGAGATGTCTTATCCGGCCCTCGTCACTCGTACGTTGTACTGTGCCCTCCCTGGCTACGATGTACTTAGTCGAGTGAAAGAAATGATGGTCCCTGCGACTACTGCGTGATCCACGTTAAAGAC